ATGAGCGGGATTAGAGGGGCCCTGCCTCCAGCCGGGTGGAGGAAAGGGACAACAGAGTGTATTGGACTGTGTGGATCCAGTGGCCTGGCACGTCAGATCCACAGGAGCGCAAGGTCCTAGTGGACACTGGTGCACAGTGTACTTCAATGGCATCAAGCCATGAAGGGGTGGAACCCATCTCTATTTCTGGAGTGACAGGGGGATCCCAACAGTTGACTCTGCTGGAGGCTGAAGTAAGTCTAACTGGGAATGACTGGGCAGAGAACCCCATTGTGAGTGGCCCAGAGGCTCCGTGCATCCTTGGCATAGACCCAAGAGGGTACCCGTGGGCTTTTGACATAGCTGCCTTGGCTGGAAACCTATCCCGTGCCCCATGCCACCACCCAGAACACTATCCTGGGCCTTGAAAAAACAACTCCTGTTGTGACATGGCACCCCAGAAAGAATTGAGTCAGACAACGGGACTCATTTCCAGAACAACCTCAAAGACACCTGGGCCAAAGAACATGTCATGGAGTGGGTGTATCACATCCCCTATCACGCACCAGCCGCTGGGAACATCAAAAGGTACAATGGACTGCTAAAGACTACCCTGAGAGCAACGGGTGGTGGGACCCTCAAACACTGGGACACACATTTAGCAAAGGCCACCTGGTTAGTTAACGCGAAGGGATCTGCCAATCGAGCTGGCCCTGCCCAATCAAAACTTCCACGCCCTGTGGAAGGGGATAAAGCCCCCACAGCGCACATGAAGAATACGGTGGGGAAGACAGTTTGGGTTATTCCTGCCTCGGGCAAAGGAAAACCCACATGAGGGATTGCTACTGCTGAAGAACCTGGGTGCACACATTGGCTGATGCGGAAGGATGTGGAAGTCCGATGTGTACCTTAAGGGGATTCGATATTGGGTGAGAAAAGTCAATGTATGATGTTAATTGCTAAATAACCCTGCCATTGTATGTCATCACTACTACAACTGCTATAGGCCTTATCGGTGGTATTACCATAAGAATCACCCAAATTAATGAAGGATTAACTTTGATGAAACCAAGCAAAGCGCTATGATAATGGAACTAGAACTGACTTCAATAACTGGTGCCCAGCAGCTTTCTCAAAATCAACATCCTCAACCCCCAGACCACGGGCACGAGCTCCAGATGCAGCCACAACAATCCAACAGCACACACCATCGCTCCTGCCCTGAGACTGTGACAGAGCCCACAGTCACAGACGGACCTTTGATGGACAGTGAACTCAAGAGACATTTTAGAGGGATGGCCTATAGACTAAGGGACTCTGTGTGTGTGTGTATGTGTGTGTGTGTGTGTATATATATATCTCAAAGACAGAGAAAGTGGTGGTGATTAATTGGAAAGTGTAGGATCTGGGCATGACTAGATGGTATAGAATAAGGGATGGATAATGTCCTGGTTTCAGCTAGGACAGAGTTAATTTTCAGAAGAAGCTGGAGGAGACACAGCCAGGACAACTGACCCACACTAGGGGTAATTCCATACCATATGAATCATGCTCAGCATATAAAGGGGGGTAGCCGGGAAGGAGCAGCAGCTCTAGGATGGGCTGAGTGTGCAGTTTGAGGTTTTGGGCTGAGCAAATTACACTGTGTATCACCCGCTTTGTATATTCTGTTGTAAGTACTGTTGTTATTTCCCTCTCCCTTTGCTGTCCCAGTAACCTGTCCTTATCCCAATCCATGAGTTTTACCTTTGTGTTCCCATTCTCCTCCCCATCCCGACGGGGAAGCAGCAGTGAGTGACAGGCTGCGTGGTGCTCAGCTGCTGGCTGGGGCTGAATCACGACACAGAAGAACCAAAATTTAATGAACAACAAAGTAGGTAAGGATTACCCAAAAATATGTATTTGCAGAAAAGCTTGGCAAGCACCGTGCAACACTTGCATCTAATCTACACATAGTACTCGAGCTAAAGATGGATCATGGATTTACAGATAGTGATACTTTGGGCTTTCTTTTCCTAATTAACTCCACACATTCGGTTTGCTTTTTTTGACTGTTACTGAAGACTGAGCACATATCCAAATATGTACTTTCAGGCCAAGAATTTGCTCTTGCACTGCTCAGAGTTCATCACCACAGGTGTGAATTTGGATTCTTAACCACAACATGCTTCACTTCACATTCAACTGCACTGAACTTGCATTTCTATCAACCCATGAATCAGTCCTCATCCTTACTAGTCACAGTAAGTCAGCGCGGGCAAACTTTCCCTGCACTGCCTTTCCCAAACAGGACACAGTAACACTGAACATTGTGGCTGCCAGCAGAGCTCCCTACGAAACTCCTGGAAAAATCTAACCATTTACTCTTTTTCCCCCATGTAATTCCCTCTCGTTCCATGGGATCACTCACCCAGGGTCCTTAAAACCCTTTAGCACAAAAACCTGCCAAGTTCATTTCAGAAATACATTACAACAGATGTTCTCCAAATCCCTGTGGACTTCTTTAAAGAACTGCATAGATGTTGTGAGACATGACTTGCCATTAAAACAGCAAGTTTATATTCTCTCATGATATCCAGGTTTCTACTAATTCCATTCTTTATTGTAGTTTGTTTTCCTCATACATAGGTCCATCTTACTAGGTCAGAAATCCCACAAACCCTTGCTTAGAACAGATAGCACGTTTGCCACCTTCCAGTTCCCAAGTTTCAATGCAACTTTTCTAAGAGATCGCACACCACAGTTAGCAATACCCATTTCTGCTGTCTGTCTTTAGTCCTCTTTAGCATAGCACAACCCCCAACACTGTACCAGTATCTTCCCTATTTAAGAATTTGGATTATACAGAGATTGATTATTTTTCTTGTTTAAGCAATTTTTAACACGTAACACAAACCAAGATCTCAGATATAAACGAAGATTACTGCCTATTAACCGGAATGAAAAAAAAAAAAATATACAGAAGTTGCAGAGGAGAACTTCAGCCTTGCTCATTTCACACTTGACGAACACATGCTAACACCGATAGCAATAATCAGACTCTTTGCCATCTATACCTAAGAACAAAGCTCTGTGAGGTGGCCAAAGGAAAGAAGCTTCTCACTCTAAATACTGAGATACACTAAGAGGAGAAGACCTGGGAGTAAGTGCCAAGAAAGGCAGTCCACTAGATCAAAGGGACCATAAACACCAAAAATTGTTAGCCCGAGTTGCAAGGAGCTACAAGCTGTTTACAGGCTTCCACGATGGCAGAAGGACGCTGAGCTGTCTGGAAATGGCAGCCCCTGGCTCAGTTACCATTCTGGACAGACCAGATGGCAGGACTGCTATGATCTGAGATCCTATGGCAATCTTTATTTAAAAGTTTAAGGAGCAACCTTTAATCAACCCAAACCCCCTAAACATCCCAACAGTAAAACAAAAATGGAAATTTACTGAATTTTCTACAAAGCCTGAAGCACCAAGGCCAAAAAAGAGCTCTGCCCACACTGCCTTCAGGACAGCACTCCTCAAGAGAACCCAGACGAGAGGAATGCAGCTGTGGGGAAGTAAGCGAGGAGTTTCCACATCCCCTTAGGGTGGGAAGTGGAGGCATTTCTATGCCTTCAGTACGCCTTTAACAGTCAAGCAGAAGAAAAGCAACTGAAATGAGAGATCAGTGAGCAACAGCGGTTTAGAAGTAAATGCCTATCTTCAACCTGAAAGCAGCATCTACAGCTCCTTTTCATCACCATCACTCCCTGATAAGGGCAGAGCTCTTAATTAGCAAGCTCCCAAGTTTGTAACATCTGACTGAATGGAGTAACTGCTTAGAACCGTGTTACTTAACCTTTATCTCCAAGATAACTCAAGATGAGGTTTAAATATTTTTTGATGTGCTGACTTCTAAGAGTTTCCCAGCGTAGGTGGCTAACTCCTGTAGAACACATTTAAGCCCAATGGCAATAGCGTGCTTTTCTAGGCTCTCTCTTGCAGATGCCTCGGCAGCAGCACACACGCCAGCAGGCATCTGCAGACAACAGATCAAACACAACACATTGTTGCTGTTAGATGCCCCTGGATTGACTTTGAGAAACTCATTTTAATCTGAGCTGATCACTTCAGAAACACTGGCCCTGTGCGAATAGCTGCAAGTCAGGGCAAGAGAGCAGGTGATGACTTTTGAATTATTCTGTGGCAAGTAAATACTGTATTTTCAGTATTGAACATACAAGGAGCTCTTAAGTCTACCTGCAGCAAAACCACCATGCTTTAGCAGGAGTGTGGAAAGATAGGGCAGTGCCATGTATGTGCTGAAACAGACTGCTGTACAGCAGAACACTAATGCATTATTTAAGGCAAAATAATCTCTAGTGATCAATATCTAAGAGCCACAAGAGTAAATATTGTGGGCTAATTTGAGGACCTCAGCATCACAAAATAAGAAAGCACAGCTGAAGAACTGGAAAAATTCAGCAAAGGGATAGAGAGCATTCCTTATTCCTAACTTATGTATGTTATTTGGCAGTTTTGGTAATAATATTTAGTTTACAAAACACTACAAAAAGTTGGTTTTGTAGCTTCTTCCTTGGGCTAGGCCTGCAGAAACATCAGAAGGTCTAGATGTCTGTAATCCAAAGTGCAGCTTGACACTTGACTCCTTAGGAGCTTTCTGGAAAGTAGGAACCAACACTGCTCATGTCAAGCTAAAAAGACAAAACAGAAAGGAGATTTAGCAGATAAGTGCCAGAGATTGCAGAAGGCATTTCAAAACACCAGTACAGTCAGTTCTCAGCCTCCAATTACCAAGGCCCAGTAGAAATTTCCTTTCCTAGACCATAAGGTTCTACAAAAAGAGGGAAACAGACCCAGCTGCTGCTAAGAGCCAGCCATAAGAACAGACTTGTCAAGCTGGGAAAGGCAAAATATACACTCAGCCTGGTCTAGCTGGTTATGAAAAGCTCAGAGCAAGTTTAATTATGGCTCTGTTATGCTCAGAGACATGAAGCTTTTATAGAGGAACCGTGAAGGGGGAGCAAAGAACTCTTTCAAGGGTTCTTCATTCAAGGAATTCCTTATTCTTTCCTTATGCCATAAACCATTCCCATACGCTCTTATGATAACTGAGAATTCAGCCACTGAGTTACAATGGCCTATACAGCTCAAGAACACGCCTCTGGCACCACAGCAAAGATCGTAAGAGTTGTAATCAGATGAAAGCCTAAATGCAGTTCGCATAGGACATTCATCTATACATATGCCTAAATCTTTTTAAAAAATTTGCATAAATTAATGAATGGGGAAGGTCCTATATCATTACCATTCCAGAGAGAAAACAATAAAACTTGCCTCCCATTAAAAGGTAACTTAGGCAAAGCCTTTGACAAAAAGCCTTTAAAAAAAAGTAAGACAGCAGCCTTAAATTAAAAAGATTTAAGGCAGGCAGTAGACAAGCTCCAAAGTCTTCTTGGCTCTAGAAATGGTTGTAGCCAGCATTTGAAATAGTTTTACAGGTTACAATAATCAAAAGCCAAGATGTCAAGCAAAGCCACTGGCATTTTAACTTTTAAACCAAGATTTGTCTAAAAAAATCCATTCAAGTCATAGCTAAGCACTGAACAGCTAGAGGAAAAAAAAAAAAAGGTATCTGGAAGTTGAAATGGATATATTTCTCATAAAAAGTATTATAATTGCAACAAAAAGCCTTATACTTTCTGTACAGGACTAAGCAGGCTGATTAACTACAAGGAAACAAACCCTTCTGCAACAAGGTAACTGCTTTCAGTAACCCAACAAAAGGAAAGACTAAGTAAAAAAGTAAAATAAAGAGTAATACAAAAAAAAAAGATAAATCAGTGAAAACAGCTAGTTTTATAGTAAAATCTTGCCTGTTTTGATCATGATTATACACAGACTTCGATCCTTCTTACCTGTCAATCAAGGAATCTCTCATGTTGGTAGCGATGGTACTTGGCTGAGCTTCGTTCAGCTTGAAGATACTCTCAATGACAGAGAGCTCAGTGCTGGTCGTGTCCAGCCCACAGAAGG